GTTTAACTTACTATAATTCTTAGTAAAAATATGATACGGTTGGTTATACTATGCCTATATCGTAATTATTACCGATATTATGGTAATACTTACTATAAATATGATATTTCGGACTATAATTTAGTTACTATATCATTATAGCTCCAAATATCATATACTTTTCTCTCAGTGTGCTGATTCGATGGAGGCGCAAAGTCTTCTTGACCAATCAGAATATCGATATAGCAAGACGACAGATTGGTTTTACAATGAGTTTTAAAAGCAGTCTAGGCATTTTATACTATGCACAAGACACAAAATTATGTAAATGATATATATTACGAATCTTATTCCGTGTAAATCGAAGCGACAAATATTCTTTCACAATTAATACTTATTACTTACGGATTACTTACGGATTCTTATTACTGTTATTAATTCGTAGGCGAATATCTTGTGCGACTCGTCGCAACCTCCTCTAATGATTGACAGATGTACGTCAGACTGCTTTAAAAACTCACTGCAAAATCAACCTTGCTATATCGATATTCTAATTGGTCAAGAAGACTTTGTGCCTCCATCGAATCAACAGAGACCTGGTCACGTGATCAGTTTGCTACTCTCTTCCTGTGAGGCTCTCTAGAAAGAGTCTCTGCGTTGCGCTCGTGTCGCGTCGCGCGCGCGCGCGCGCGAGGTTGTTATTCCGGCTTGTTGCTGTGATGACGACCGTTACAAAGGATGACGATTTAAACCATCAATTTCATGATTTACGTCAATCAGTTAGCGACACGCAGATAGTGCCGCAATATTTAGCGCGAACGGGACGATCCGATTCATGTGGTAGAATTTAGTATATGACTCGTGTTTATATCTCTGCTCGCGAGCATAATGATTTAACCATCACGGTCGGATAACAGGCTATTGCGAGCCGGCACAAAAGGGGACACTATAACCGACCAATTTTAGTGGCCTTTCATTGTAACGCCGGCATATTGACCGACGCTTTGACCGTATTCTACTTTTGCAACGTTAAAGCATTATTGATTGCAATCGGGCAGGCAGTTTCGACGCGCGTAAAAATATTATGCCTCATAGAATACTCATCGACGATAATGCATCGCTGATGCGCTATTTATCGTGTGATCGCTTTATCACTGCCGCGCTCTCCTCACAAACAGAGGGTGAGAATTTATTACATGTTGCGGTAATAATCCCTTGAAAAATATTTAACAGAGCGGCGCGCATCGGCTCTCGGCGATAACGATAAGCTAAAACGATCCGACCGCGTGGTGATTGAAGACGATAAATATTTTTCAGTGACTGGCATTCGACGTAACACGCTGCGGTTGTCAGATTCTACACAACGTGAGGGCATTGTCTCTTCCCGTTGGAAAAGCCCCGTTATACGTAATCGTGTCGCGTGTCGCAAGAATAACGGACACGGCCGGCTCCAACCGCCGTCGATTCCGGATAAATCGTCAATAACGGGACGATTCACCGTAAACGCGCGGAACGCAGATAATTACGGGTTTGTTGCCTTCCGTACGAGTGTTCTCTCGCGGGCACTCGCGGGCACTCGCGAGCGTCGACCGTCGGTCGACCCTAATTCGGGAACGTACAGAGACTGTGAGCAGAAGCATGGAAAACGAGGGAAGTTTCGTCGACAACCCTCGCAGAATGTACCCTACAAAGCGGCAGACGCGGCGAGGGTGGTTCGGGGAGGAGAGACGAGGAAAGGACGAGAGGCCGCCGCACCAGGAGAGCAGGAAATTACGTCTCCGGACGTCCGTTCGTTCGGCTTCAGAGCTTCACAGGTCTTGAGAGAAACCGGCGGTTCCTTCAGAGAGCGAGCGCAAACGCGAGGAAAGGCCGACAGGGCAAGGCAGGCCAGGCCAGGCCAGGCCAGGCCACGGTGAGATTAGGGGAAGGGAAAGGAGGGGGGGGGAGGAGGAGGAAGGAAGGTCGACTGGCCGCTCGGCCCGTCCGTGGCCGGGAACGAGACCCGAAGAGAAGAATGCCGGGGCGCGAAGGAGAACAGAGGAACTCCGGACTACATCGAATATACCCGGTGCATTCGTCATGATCTAAGTGTACTTTGGGAAATGCGACCGGTGCAGCGAGGGTAACAACGACTCGTTGACGCTTTAAATTCGCATTCGCAGGCCGAGTAATCGCCGAGGAAATCGCGACCGCCGCGGGCAGGCTGAAACAACCCCCTGCTGCCGCGTGCAGCGTGTAGCACTCGTGACGCTTATTTCATACACAAGTTCTCGGCTGTTTCTTCATGAACAGCAATTGATTTCTGATTGTGCGGCACGCTCAAAGCACGTCAGCTACCTCCGTGTTGATACGTTTCGTGATTACAGCGTCTGTACTCGAGGCGGCGCGGCGCCGAAACGCTCGCTAGTTCGTTTGTTCACAACTGTTCTCTCTGTAGTCTATATAATGACGGGCAAAGTAAATCTCATCGGTTTCGAGTATTCACTTACTGCAAACTATCCTCTAGCCCGAGTTAATTTCAAGTCACCCTCGAGCGTTTTTCTTATACGTTAGATTGCCGTTATAATTAGCCAACTGTGACGAGGTTAACGGTAAGTAAGGTTGGCGTTTCTTGCTGTCGATACTCTTCGGATTATCCTCGTCGTTTGCTCCGAGAGCTGGGAATAGACAACGGTATCGAATTCCCTTGTCTCCCCTACCCCCCCCTCTCTCTCTCTCTCTCTCTCTCTCTCTCTCTCTCTCACTACCTCTCCTGTTAAGTCCTCGTATCTCGGATTATGACGTGGGTGGTAAATTGAATCGCCAGCGCGTACGATCGATGCGCGACACTCGAATCCGCACAGATCGATTGACCGCCTCTATCGGCCTCCGAATCTCAGCGCGCGCGCGCGCGCGCAACGTCATCCGATCATCGCTTTCGTTGTTTTTCCAGCAGATAACGACGTGGCGACGTGGAGGCGGACGGCGTATGCTCGCGTACGGCGACGCGCATTTTCCTGTACGTGTGTGTATACGCAGGAAGCGGCAGTAACGGAAGCGAGGTGAAATGCGAGGTGATTTATCAGAGGAATTTGTTCCACGCCCTCACCCTTCCCCCTTGCCAATTAGGACACGACAATACGGCCGCGTGGGAATTTATCGCGCAATCGGGCTTCGAGGAATTCCTTCTGCAAGATGGAAATATGCCGTGCGCACGGTGAAGCTGCGTGTTCGTGTCGGCGCGATTAACTTTACGGTCCGATGAATAAAGATCCGACGAGTAAAAGTATCGCTCTCGCGGTATCGCGAGCGAGCCCTCTCGAAGTCTCGCGGCTCATTCTCCGACGCTCGCGAGATTCTCGTTCGCTGATTATTCCTCCGTGCATTTCGAGAGCCTTCTCACCGCGACGCGAGGTTACCTCCGGCGTGCAATCTAATTCCATTTTGCACGGCGGCGCCGCGGTGGTAACGTGCTTAAAGCCGAAGGAAGTCCAAGCAATCTACGAGTTCCGATATCTTTTCTCTTCCGGCAGACGATGAAAATTTTCCTGTTATTTCAGCGATAACATCGTCACGGAGTGAAAGCGACTGCGAATCGCTGATTCGACCCCCGGCACGGCGCGACCGTGGCGTGGGGTCGAGAATAAGTGCCTCGTAACCGTGATTGTAGAACTACTATATGCAGCCGGCGCCTCCGTTTTCCAGATCCGAAAGCAGGCGCGAAATGTCGAGGAGAGTCTCTCGTGCGAGCGCAGAAACACGGTAGAAAGGGAAAAATGCGAGAGGAGAGCAGAAGCAAAGCGATATAGCACGGCGCAAGCCCGGAGCTTCGAAATCTATTGAAATCCGCGCGTGAAAACGCGCGGAGAAAAGAAAAAAGTACGACACGACGGACGACGAGGAAGCGCAAAGTCGTCGCGAAACAACGCCGCGAGTTAATTTACAAGTCGCGGAGGGCCTTCTCTCGCTCAAGCGTCGCGGAAACGAGAGTAATTTCAACCGTTGCTTCCTTCGCAAAACTGGTAAGTATTTGACTTTGCGAAGAAGAGATACGGAGATCGCGCTTCGCGCGCGCGCGCGCGGGCACAGATATGCAAACCGACGTCATTAGAAGATAACGTTATTTTAGCCGTGATATAGTTTCCAACTGGATATCGTCGCTCGCCCCATTACTCCGTCTTTGCCTTGAAGTAATAACTAGAAGTGGGCAAATCTCGAAAAGCCCTGAGAGTCCGCACGGCTAAATTGAACGGGAGAATGGGAGGTGAGAATCGAGGTAAAATTGACTCGCTACCTCTCGAGAATGACCGGGTCGATTAGACTTCGTCACGGGGCGGAGGGAGGGAGGGGGAAAGGTGAAGGGGGGGGAGAGAGAGAGAGAGAGAGAGAGAGAGAGAGAGAGAGAGAGAGAGAGAGGGAAAGAGGAAAACGGCAAGACGGCGCGGACGACGTCGACGACAACGACGGCTTCGAGGAACATCTGTGGTCCAACGTTCTTTTATGATTCGTCGGACAAGGGAACAAAGAAGGCGGAAGGAAGAACGGGCCGATTGGACATGCCGTTGGAAAATCTTTTCGCTCGTAACTTCTCGCGGGAAAAAGCCCGCTTTTGCCAAGAAAGTCCGTTGTTCGGTAGCGACGTTTAGCTTAAACGCTCGTGTCTCGGGCAAAAGGAATCCGACTCTTTCTCCGACGAGCTATCGATCGAGATGTCGATCGCCGGACGTAGTCGGACACGCAAAATATAAGTATCGGCGCGCGAGCGATTTGTCTCGTCGCAAGCAAGCCGGCCTCGCCGGATTAATGTGAGACGCTGCTGCGTCTCAGGGTGTCGCTCGAAATTCTCGGGATACAGCCTACCTATCCATTAGTTACGAGAAGTGAGACGCGCGCGTAATTATTATCCGGCGCCAGGCGTTTATCGGTGTCTACGTGTCAGCTCGCGCGCCGCAGCTCGCTACTGACGGTTAAATTCTGGAACGACGACGGCGCATTCAGCGCCGCGGACAAAAGCGTCACATCTGAAAACGCGAAGCACTCACCTTGGGTTGCCACGAAGAGCAGCGTGGTGCAGAGCGTTGAAGCCATTGTTGTTGGTGAGGGTGATGTCTGCGGCATGGTCCAACAACAGAGCCAACATGTCATCCCGTTTCTTAGAGATCGCGTCGTGAAGGGGTGTGTCGCCTTCCGAGTCCTGCGAACAGGAAAATATCCGTCCCTGTTATGTATATCCTGTTGTCTAACGGCCTAATTGCGCAGAAACGAGAGAAACGTGCCAGAGAGGAACGGAGGAAGAGAGGTAACTTTCTCGATCCTCTCAATATCTCAACTCTTGATTCGACTTGATTCTGACGTTTACAATTCAACGCACAATGAACGCGGGGATTATTCTTCAATGAAAAATATTTCCCACCCATAATGAATAAATCGTACGCACGGTGCAAGTTGATTGTTCGACGTGCGACAACCAACTGATTTTCAACAATTTCGGTTTTACATTTGTAAACATACGCGCACATGCAGCTTGATCTGAGGTTCAACCCGAAAGTACACTTCGTCACACTCTGCACACGATGTGCTATATCGTCTCACCATTTTCTACTAACGTCGTTAATCCTCTCCGAATCGGAATCGCTTTTTAACCCGAAAAGAGAGAGAAAATCCGAAGGCGGGATCAGCGTAGATAGCGCACAGCCGAACCGTACCATTCACCTAAATTCTACAGAACTGGATCAATGCTACGGCCAGTTTTGGCCCCGGCGGTTACCACTCGGACGATACCCATGAGCTCCAGTCGGCGATAAAACGTACGGAAACAGCGGCCATCCATTAATGCCGAACAACGCGGGTGCGAACTCGCTAGCAAACAAATGGATGAACGAATGAACGAGCGAGCGCAGGGATAAACGGTACAACGATGGGTAACGGCGTAACGTAACGTATGCATTCAGTTTACAGACAGCGCACAAGTATTCGTTCGCGAAAATACGACGCGATTTCATTTAACGATTGTCTCTGGCTTTTCTTCTCGCAAGTAAGAACTATCTCGGCGAACTATAATTTTTTTATCCTTCACTTGTGGATATCGTTACATTTTTTCTTTTGCATATAAAGCTTCGCGAAATTCGACGGAAATTACGACGGAAAGCGGACAATTACAATAAATTGTAAGATAATCCAGCGATGAAACTCAACTGAATTGAATGTGTGGGAATGAAATTATAATGGGGATAAAAAAGGGTCTACTTTGAAAAGATTTGACTTTGAAATTGTGTGTCTCGGCATATGTCTTCGCACGATACATGCTCTCGGTTATCTTTTCAACGTACGACGACTGACTTTCGACGAAGACTCGATGATTTAAACACAGATAGATCGACTTACGAGTGCCAATTAGACTCTGCGTGTCCAATTATTCCGCAGGCTAAACTAATGCAACGTAGTATGCAACGACGTGAAAAACAAAGTATCGAGCCAACCGATATCAAAACACTGACTGAGTGCGATATTCGCCGCTGGTTTCGCGCAGTGTGCACCGCAGCAACATCGATGCTCGTCGACGACAATAATTCACTCAATGAAAAGACGATATCGGCGAGATACCGGCTTCGCGGTGTATCGAGAAACGACGGAGCGTAAAATAGCATCCGCGACAAGCTCATGACGACGCTCCGCATTCCGGCGCAAAAAACTAGGAACGAAAAGCTAGAGCGAGCGCGCGCGCTTTCGCGGCATCAGCCGCTGCCGGCTGCGTAAATAATAGGGCATCAGGCACAGATACTTTATGGGATCAGTTGGAAAAATCCTTTGTATAACTCCAATAACCGTGGAGGATAAATCTGCCGGTGCTGTCGAGAACCGCCGGCGCTATCTCGCGCTATAAATGCTGGCCATGTGTCACGCCACTAGGTGAGGGTAAAAGGGACGGGGAAGAGAGAGAGAGAGAGAGAGAGAGAGAGAGAGAGAGAGAGAGAGAGAGAGAGAGAGAGAGAGAGAGAGAGAGAGAGAGAGAGAGAGAGAGAGAGAGAGAGAGAGAGAGAGAGAGCAAAGGACAGAGAAAGGTAGTAGGAAACGAAAGGGATGGAGAAGGGAAAAAGGAGATGGGGGAGGGTGGAAGTGAAGCTAAAGCAAAGGGGGAAGCGAGGGACCGAGGGAAAACCTACCGTCGAGGTGAATGGGACTAGGCCGGGGCAAAGATCGCGCGACAGCCACGGGACCCTGTCTTATTTAACCGATCGTGGAATCTCGGTCATTATTTTTTCGTTATTCACGCCGTTATTCACGCCGGAGGCCAACGCTAATTACTCGCGCCGCACGCGTGGGCGCGCTCAAGCGCAATGTGATTCCGCATCGCAAGTTGCTCGTCGCTTTCGGGAAAAATTGCAACGTAGATGAAGGAACGAACGCACGCGGAGAATTAATTTAAGAGAAATGCCGCTAAATTACATTCCGATAAAAGTCGCTATCTATTCTCGCGGTAACGGACAACCCCCTCTGACCGAAAATAACGCGCTCCAGTCCCGAGCGAAGATTTGTACGAGCGGAAAGAGAAAATAGTGGGTCTCTGGATGCGAACTTTCAATTTGCGACGCTGACGCGCGCTCCTTCACCAGCGCGCGGTCTTTCCGCCGCATTCGACGTCCCAATCGTTCTTTCCGGGAAAGGGTTTGCATTATGGCCCCCTCCGCCCTCTGCGAACCGCCCCTCTTTTATATCTCTCTGTTCTCTCTTCTCTCTCTCTCTCTCTCTCTCTCTCCTTCTTTCTCTCTCCGCCGCCTCCTCGTTTAAGTTCAACAAATGACATTCGATTCATACCGAGCGCACCGCAGGTAGCGTTCGAATAACTTGCGAAAACTTTAATTTCGACATTTCTCTCCGACGTCTCACCCTTCCGAGCCGACCGCTTCCTCCGCTGCCGGGATTCAACGCCGCTGGCCATCCTCCAGCCCATCGCGCGATTCGCTTCGAGACGCTCGATCATTCTTATCGCCGACAAATTGCCGCAGACTTGTCAAATGTAAGAAGTACAAATGATCGGCGCACGAGTTTTACCAGGTCGGACGCTTTGTCACGCATCCTTGTAGAGTCCGCCGGACAACGCGCCACCGAGAGCGAGTACTGTGGTATCGGGTAATATCACTGGTTACTCGATAAATGGAGAACGATGGAGTTGCGCCCGAGGAATCAAATAAACGCTCGCGAGAAACTTGTTCCTTGTTCGGACTTGATTCGGTACCGGCTACGGATACGGCCCGTGTTGCTCTTCGCTTGCTATCGGCGACGCTGTGTACAGATCAGGTGTACGAGCCGGCAAAATGAGAAAAGACAACAGCAACAACACGACTGAGCAGCAGCTCGAAGCCGGTCATGAAAGTGTGGATGACAATCAGCGTCGGTGTCGAGGCCGGGAGGACGCGGGAGGGAGCGAGGGAGAGCGAGCGCGCGGGTGGATCGACGAGGACGGAAAGTCGAGGCGGGTTGATTGCAGCGCAAATATTGACATCGCTAATTCTCCCCCGGCCGTTTGCCTCGTCGAAGGCGACAAGCTACACTAATGAGAGCTTTAAGACATCGGCAAGACATTGAGCAAACTTGGATTTCAAGCGCCGTCACTCGAAATCGGAGCAGTCATTCGACGTGACTGGCGAATGCAGTGCTCCGCCGTAGCACAGGCGCGCGCGCTTGTTTCCGTCGCTGGCCGAGCAGGAGCTAATGGTATCCCAAGTGCCGTCGCTTCTTGTAACAAACGCGACTCGGATTAGGTTAACTCGCGAGAGCGGTTACGCGACGAGCCACACCTACCCCCTGTTCTCCGCGCCGCACCGCGGGGCGATAATCGCGCGATAGCGCGAAACGGGCCGATCCTTTTTCGTTTACCCGGCCGAACGAGGCGCCAAGTGTTGAATCGCAGTGTTTGACTGTCCGCTCGAGCGAGATCTCTCCACCTCTCTCTATTATAGGAGCGGATCACGAAGAAGCCGGCCGTCCCGCATATCTCGTCATGCACCGAACGACCGAGCGAACGACCTTAACTCCTTTCTCGCGACGGCGATCGATGACGATTTCACCGAGGCCGAGGAGGAACGAGTGCGCGACGGGGGAAACGGAAGGAGACGGGGACGCTCTTCCGCCTCCTCTGTCTCCTCAACCTCCAATTTCTCCGGCCGCTCGGGCTGGAGGAACTGGAGCCGCAGCGGGAGTCTGGGAAGATAATGCAGACCGTGAGAAAACGGAGCGGAGCACCCTCAAAGTCCGCACCCGCGCTTGATTGCAACCAACCTTTCCCACCCGTTTCCAGTTTCCACTTTTGAGGAGGAGGCCCGAGGATTCCTTTGGCCGATGCACCGGCCGGGAGGACCGGCGGTGGTAAGGGTGCCTCCTTGCAAAGACAAGGACTGGTATGCGGGTCGTGTACGAATGAACCCGGACGCCTGCCTACGGGGAACGGATGGGGAAGGGCCGGGTGGGTGCAGACTGCGGAAGTGCAGAGACTGCACGATTCTCCGGGCTGGTAAAAGCGGCAAGTGCTAAAAACAAGAGTTGGCTAACTCGTTACGCCGATCGTGCTCGGACTGGGTATTCGATTCTTTAGACGTTCGCGTAGGCGCGCATTCATGACGCTCGCTCGTCAGCGAAAGGGAAGGAAGGAGGGAGGGAGGGAGGGAGGGAGGGAGGGGGAGAGAGAGAGAGAGAGAGAGGACGCCGTGCTAAGAATCAGTCGTCTGTCGTCTCGCCCGGAGGTCGCCGGATCGATTATACGAAGCGCGAGCGCGAAATAATACGTTAAAATCACACGCGCGATGGAAGCGGGATCAGCTCGCAATCAGCCGCAACGCCACCCCCCGCGCCACCCTGATTTCTAGGGCCTGCGTTCGCGCGAGTTTATCATGCAGTTTCCTGATTTTCGCCGAGTCAGAAACGCTCCGCTAATTGCTCCGCCAGACGAATCCAGATTAAATCACTGAAACACGACGTAGGTGGAAGTTTTGCAGTTGATTGCGACGGCTAAAATCGTACGCCGCGTAGAATCTTAGATGACGCTGCATTTCCGGATGGGCGAAACAGCGAGCGGTGTTTTCGGCAGAGAGGATTCATTCACTCCTGCCGAAAGGTCTCTCTCTCTCTCTCTCTCTCTCTCTCTCTCTCGACAACAAGAGTTGTCCTCTCCATTCCTTCCCGCTGCCCCGCCTCGTC